ACATTTATTTTTCAAAACCTAAATCCTTTTCTTTAAAAAATATTTAAAACAACAAAAACATTTTCTCTTTTAATTAGGTTAGAAGGGTCAAAACCTTATTTTCTTCCCGATTTTAATTTTTCTCACGCGCTTTATTTTTATTATTTATTATATTGATGTAACTGCCTACAGTTTGTAATAGTTTAATTAGGACATTTATTTACTTTTATCGCTTTAATTTCAAAGGGTTTATTTTTGGCTATGTAAATACCCGAAGCCTTGTAATAGTGTAGTTTAATTTCCGCACCTTAAATTCCACAAATATTTAACTGTTAGATGTATGATATTAGGATGCATGACAAGAATGTATGTTTAATTTTAAAACAATTAGATAACCCTAAACATGTGCAAAGATAAATAATCTGAAATTGAGTCACTCGCACATGCGCACTCCTAGGGTACACTCCCACTTGGTTGCCTTCGGTAAACGGTCATTGAGTATATGATGCTTTAGTGGTCGTCCTTTTGTCTAAAGATCAAAGTTGCCTCAGAATGGTTGCCTCAGATAATTGATCTAAGACATTAGGGTTACTACTAAGACGTCCTAACATTGCTTTAGTGACCGTACGTCCCTTTTGAATTGACCCTTAAAACTCTAACGACGGTGCTACCTACTCACTAATAGTGGGATAACATTGTCTAAAGGAAACGAACATAGAACAATTCTTTTTTCGAGTAGGTAGATCAGTTCTTAAGTACTTGCTCAGACAAAACAAAACTCTTTCCACACTTACACTTCTTTACAAAACAAAGTTTTCAAAAATACTTCATTACACTCTTGAAGACAGAAGCAAGAGTTAAATCGAAGTCAAAACAAAAACTTTTCAAAGCACACAAACACAAAGAAAACAATTTTGAAAATGATGAGCAAGTACCTAAGAGCCCGTGGAAAACCACGGATAGAAAGGGTGCTAATACCTTCCCTTTCTATAATCTACCCCCTGTACTCAGAAAATCTCAAAAAAAGGAATTTTTCTGTGCTTTTTTCCTTTCCTTGTTGGATAAAATAAAAGACGGTGGCGACTCTTGCTTACCGCGACATTTTGCAAAAACAAACGCAAAACGCAAACCAGCAATTACTTTAAAAAGGGAAACACGTCCCGGTTCTGGCCACCGTATCACATGTACCTTCATGCATATTCGTCATAATCCTCTTTGCTTCACTCTTGTCTACACACCGAAGTAAAGCGAAATCATGGTTGTGCTTGTAGAGGATTCTGTTACTGAGGAAAAACTTGACATAGAACCTTCTTAGGAACTTCTTATCATTGACGGAAGCTACCTCAGGATACTCTTGGGCCTCAAGGTATCTTTTCACTTCATGGAACCAAGGTCTGTCGCCTACTTCTTCAGTATCCACCTCATAACAGTATGATGGTTCGTCCAATCTCTCAATGGTGATTTGAGGAGCTTCATTATCCCATCTGACTTTAAACATGGATGACATAGTAGCTAGCGTGTCTGCTAATTGATTTTCTTCTCGTGGAAAATGCTCAAAGGTAACTTCTTTAGTGTCAACACATGCTCTCAATAAGGGATGAGATTATGATGCTTCATGTCCCATTCTCCTTTGATTTGACTGATCACCAAGGCGAGTCTCCAAATACGCTCAAGAATTTGATTCTCAAGTCGATGGCAGCTTTGAGACCCATAACGCATGCTTCATATTTAGCCATATTATTGGTATAATTGAAACATAGTCTGTTAGTGAAAGGAGTATGACAGCCTTCGGGAGATATGATCACAACACTGGCGTCATTGCCAAGTGCGTTGGAAGCTCCATCAAAAACCATAGTCCATCGGGATCCTTGTTCAGGTCTGTCATACGGTCCAAGTTCTTCACAATAATTCACTAACATGATGTCCTCTTCCAGGAACTCAAAATTAATGGATTGATAGTCGTCCACAGCCTGATGAGCCAAATGATCAGCTAGTACACTTCCTTTTATTGCCTTTTGGATAGTGTACTGAATGTCGTATTCAGTTAGGACCATTTTCCATCTTGCTATTCTTCCAGAGAGAGCGGGCTTCTCGAATATGTATTTGATAAGATCCATTTTAGATATCAATAAGGTAGTGTGAGTCAGCATATACTGTCTTAGCCGGCGAGCAGCCCATGCCAGAGCGCATCAAGTTTTCTCGAGCAGTGAATATTTGGTTTCACAGTCGGTAAACTTTTTGCTCAGGTGGTATATTGCGTGCTCTTTTCGGCCAGACTTGTCATGCTTGCCCCAGTACACACCCCATTGAATTTTCTAAAACTGTTAAGTACATGATCAGAGGTCTTCCCTCAACCGACAACATCAAAATTGGAGGCTCTTGAAGATACTCCTTGATTCTGTCAAAGGCAGTCTGGCAGTCATCATTCCACCTCACCATTTGATCATTTTTTAGTATTTTGAAGATCGGCTCACAAGTAGCGGTTAGGTGGGAAATGAATCTGGTAATGTAGTTTAGACGTCCCAATAATCCTTTAACCTTCTTCTCGGTTCGGGGAGCTGGCATCTCTTGAATAGCTTTAACCTTTGCAGGATCTACTTCGAACTTTCATGTGGAGAACATTATCAAGTGCATTTCGTTCGCAGCAAAAAATTGTTCTTACCGTTGCTTCGAGTGGCATAGCTTCTTTATTATTGCCAGGTGGAAGAACTGCTCACTCAAAGTTCAAAATACCAGTGCCAACCGCTTGACAACTCTACTTGCAATATTGACAAAAACGACGAATATTCACAGTTATTTGAAGCAACCGATGTTATAATATGGGATGAAGCTCCTATGTCTCATAAGTACTGTTTTGAGGGATTTGTCTAAGACACTCAAAGATGTCATGAGCAAACACGGTATTGCGAATAAAATCTTTGGTGGCAAAGTTGTTGTTTTTAGGGGAGATTTTAGACAAATACTTCCAGTTGTTCCAAGAGCGGGGCGTTCTGATATTGTCCATGCATCAATATGCTCATCCTATGTATGAGACTATTGTCAAATTCTAACACTAACAAAAAAATATGAGGTTGCAGCAGGGAAGAGATAATACACGTTAAAATGAATTAGCTGAGTTTTCTAAATGGATCTTAAATATTAGGGATGGTAAGATATGTGAACCAAATGATGGAGTGGTTGAGATAGAGATTCCTCAAGAATTATTGATATCCAAATTTGAGGATCCTATAAAAGCTATTGTTGATAGCACATATTCCAATTTGCGTGACAATTTTCAGGATGTTGGATACCTACAAGGTAAAGCTATTATTGCATCAACCATTGAAGTTGTGGACAAAATCAACCACTATGTACTAGACATGATACCAAGTAAATATATATATATATATATATATATATATATATATATATATATATATATATATATATATATATATATATATATATATATATATATATATATATATATATATATATATATATATATATATATATATATATATATATATATATATATATATATATATATATATATATATATATATATATATATATATACACACAACTTCCAACAATAAATTTTTATCATGTTGGTTCTATTAATGTATTAATATTTACACTTTATGACATTTTTTAGGAGAAGAGAAATAGTATATATATATATATATATATATATATATATATATATATATATATATATATATATATATATATATATATATATATATATATATATATATGCACACAACTTCCAACAATAAATTTTTATCATGTTGGTTCTATTAATGTATTAATATTTACACTTCATGACATTTTTTAGGAGAAGAGAAATAGTATCTAAATTTCGATTCAATTGATAGAATTGATACAACTTATACTGAAGCGTACGAAGTTCTAACCCCAGAATTCCTAAGTAAACTAAGAACACCAGGCCTTCCAAATCATAGGATCAAATTGAAGGTTGGTACCCCCCCATCATGCTAATGAGAAATTTGGATCAAACAGATGGATTGTGCAATGAAACAAGATTAATTGTTACAAGGTTAGAAAACCATGTCATTGAAGCAAAAATTATGTCCGGAAAAAACATATTTAACATTTTTTATATTCCTCGAATGTCCATGTCACCTTTTGAGTCACCGTGGCCATTCAAGTTGTTTAGGAGACAATTTCCGATCATTGTCTCATATGCAATGACAATTAATAAATCCCAAGGTCAATCACTTGATAACGTCGAATTATATTTGCCTACACCTGTTTTTAGTCATGGGCAATTGTATGTTGCAATTTCGAGGGTCACAACTAAGAGTGGTTTTAAAATCTTAATACATACAAGCAAAATGCATCGTGTTCGACCACTATGAATGTTGTATACAAAGAAGTCTTCCAAACACTTTGTTAGTTGGTAATTCTTTTCACCTTATCCTTTGTGATACAAATTAAATCCCAATGTTTAATTTATGTGTTTAAATTCCACATATTTTTCCAATTAGGTTTTAAAAAATGCTTAATATTGAAGATATATTTTCCCATGCAGCTGTATGATGCGAGCCGTTGTTGCTGATTGGTTCATTCATTTACCAAGTTCAACTATGAAATTTATAATATTATGAAGTTTTCATTTGGATTTATAATGATTAAAAATTTAGATATTATTTTTGCAAGTCATGTCAATTTTGTTGTATAATTTAATATTACGTTCAAAATTGATTGTATTTTAATAGATTTTTATTAGTTTAATTTTGACACAAGATAAAGCATTACAAATCAATACTAGATCATGTAATGTGAAAACCAGTACTATATTAAATAGAAGAAACATGTAGTGTTTTCAAATAAGATGGGCTATGAATAAGCCATCCACGTGGCTGGCTATGTGTAGAAGCAGAAGGGCAAAATTGAATTTGACAGAGCTTATGATTTTGTTATATGATAGAAATGATTCAGCAATTGTGAAGTTGTCATTTTCCCCCACCTTATAGTATTATCTGATATTTGAATCGCTCCATTTGTCTCTCTGAATGTTGGTGTTGAAGAAACTTGGTGTTCAAACCGGTGGTCTTGGAAATGGGTATTTCGAACTTGAAAGCCTAACTATTGCTTGCGAATACGTTTTCAGATCCACAAAGTTATTTGTGTGAGGGTGAAGAAGAAAACAACAGCATAGCTTTAATCGTTTATATTTTCTTTTGATAATTGATTGCATATCTGAGAACCTCAATTGAGGTTATTGACAAGAGTGATTTTCGATTTTAGGGTTTATTTCCACAACAGTTTCTTATTATTGCTTCACTTCTTCATGCAGGTCACATATTATACAAATATCTTTTTGGACATAAATCGTGACTAATTCTAGTGGAAACTTCAAGATCACCCTACAAGTTTTCTTCAGTAGCTACCAGAGGAATCTTCAAGATCACCGTACATTGTAGGTTTGGTGTCATATCATAAAATTATCTGCAATTTACTTCATTAGCTAACAGAGTTTATGGCTTGAATAATGATGCACTCATATATTGTTTCATTAGTGGTTTAAATCATGAGATGCCATTTTGGCAGGTATTCCTCATCTTTTATAATGTAATCTCTTAGTTCATTATCTAACTCACTGATATACTATTTATTTAGTTATTTGGATTGTAATTTCACTAGAAAACTTTGTTACAGGGAAACCTCCCGGTATTTCAGCTCCGTCATTGGGATGATTTTTCCTTTGATGCTTGAAGCTGATCTACCACAAGTAACAAAAGTGATGGGGTTTGAAGATTTACTAAAGATAACGGATGACATTGGAAGTGCTGACGCAATTCTTGCATCCAGTTCTGAGTTGCGACAGAACCCATGAATCCATGGGGCGGAAAAAATTCCACCAGTTACCTGTATTTGTTCTCAAGGTCCCCTTTCGCTATAGCTACCCCCCTTTGAGTCACTGCTTTGACGCAGTCTCCTTTTTCCTTATACGAAATTTTGTTTGTTACTTGCAGTCCAACACCATGGCACGAATGGTAAAGGCCGTTAAAATGATCCTTGGGCTAGAATCCTTCGGCCCCATGACAAAGAAGCCATCAAGTTAATCTCCGGATATTGAAATTGAGGATGAAGAACCAAAACGAAAACCATTTCTGGAAGAAATTGATGCCTTGGAGGTACCACCTTTTTTTGATAAACCACTTCTGTAATTTTGACATCATTATAAATTTCATTGTATTCTTATGACAGGAGGTTCGGCTAGCGATAAAGTACATAGTGATTCCTAGGGGAGAGGCCATTGAACTTCTTCCGAGACGTTCTGAAATTTATAAACACATGGACTGTCTTACAAATAATGATTTTTTAAATGTCCTTGTTTTTTTAGTGCCAGGCGAACAAATTGCGCTTCCTTCTGCTGAGGTGGCTACTGCAGTCCTGGCAAGATGAGTTTTTTTTATATTGAATCCATCGAACATACAAATTTAAGGTCTTTATCTTTTTATTGTTATAGACTGACATGCTTTTCTACAGGTGTTGAAATGTATTACAAAATAGTCCAGTCATTGTAAAGTTGATTCTTGCTATTGACATTATCATTTTTGTAGTATGGGGTCTTGGTCATTAACGTTTCAGACAATAAAACTTTTTTTCCAAGCTATTTATAAATTGTTTATTATTCAAATTGTATTGACAGATTGAGTGCTATTGAGACCTAAAGTCTAATAGTATCATTCTATTACGTTGTAACTTCATACCTTTGACCACTACTATGACTGGACTGGAGCCATACTTACTTGAAAGTTTCACTATTACAAAATACTAATTTATCTGATGATGAATGTATTATATATTTGTATGATGATGAATGTATTCTATGTTTTCTGATGAACCTATTCTCCACATACTTAATTGGTTTGCTAATTGCATATCATTTGAGCCAGTAATTCTACCTACCAAAACTAGCCAGACTATTAAGGAACAACTTCTGAGTTTCATCAAATCATTGTCGAATGTAGTGAGCTAATATGTTAACTACTCAGGTATGCTAATACTAGATTCTTCGTAACTCTTACCTATTGAATTTATTAGTTTAGTTGTACATGCTTGATACCATGCAATGATGCAACTAACACTAGATACACTGCTTTAAAATATCTTGCAGGTTGAGCAAATGCGCAGTGCTGGACTTGTCAAAGGGGATTCTCTAGAAAATGACATTGTATGCAGGTATTTGCTTTTGTTACAAGTTTGTACTATATGTTAGTTGGTTAATTTTTGTTATGTAATTATTTAGGCTTTTAGCATATTTGGATTTGAACTATTTTGCCTATATAAAGGGCCATTGTATTTGTAATGATAACAAGCAGCAAGTAGCAATAACATAATTCAGTTTAAAGTTAGTTACACTTAACTAACTAACTAACTAACTAACTAACTAACTAACTAACTAACTAACTAACTAACTCTCTCTCTCTCTCTCTCTCTCTCCTCTCTCTCTCTCTCTCTCTCTCTCTCTCTCTCTCTCTCTCT